TGGTCCAGTCTGGAATTTGTCTCATCTTTCTATTTCATTGTGTCTCTGTGTTTCTGTTCTGATTTCAATGTTTCCAATCGTCATCAACCCCTGATACCTAATAGTCTGATAGCCTCTATCTACCAACCCAAATGAAAACTTCGATGAAAATCAATTGAACAAGAAACGCATAGCAGATTAGGGAAGAACATGAAGAACAGATTCCAATGAGTATGAACACGAAAGTATGAAATGGGAAACAAGGCACAACATTGACAAAAATAAATTTTGTTTCGCACTGAGAGAGAAAGATTTTGAGAAAAAAAAACTTTTTCCGTGATCGACTAAATGCTTAGCGCATACCATAATGCCAAAGAGAATGGAAAACCAAAATGAATGAGTACCAACATGAATATAGAATTCGAAAAGCTAGGCCCAACGTTGACAAAAAATTTTTGTTCGCGCTGAGAGAAAAAGATTTTGAGAAAAAAAAACTTTTTCCGTGATCGACTAAATTCTTAGCGCATACCATAATGCCAAAGAGAATGGAAAACCAAATTGAATGAGTACCAACATGAATATAGAATTCGAAAAGCAAGGCTCAACGTTGACAAAAAATTTTTGGTCTCGCTATCGGGGGAAGATTCCGGAAAGAAAAGTTTTTTCTCTTATTCGACGAAATCTTAGGCGCATATCATATTCGAATAGAGCGAGAAGAATCAAATCAAAAGAGTATAAACATGAACAGGTTGAGTTAGGATAGAGACTTGACTGGATGGAAAAATAAGTTTGGGTCTGCAACAAAGTCAAAAATTTCCGAAAAAAACTTTTTTGAACATCAAGCAAGTAAGAAGCGCATACTAAATATGAACAGAACAAGAGTATTTGGTTCAAGAGAGTATGAACATGAACAGGTTAAGTAAAGATCGAGACAAATTTTCACAAAAAAAATTTTGGCTGCGCGCAAAAAGTCAAAAATTTCAGAAAAACTTTTTTCAACATGAACCAAAAGCGAAGAGCATACCAAATATGGACAGGGCATAGAGAACTGAATCAAATGAGCATAAGCATGTGCGGGATCTTATAGAATAGAGGCAAAATAACACCGAAAAATAAATTTGGATCCGCGAACAGAGTCGAAAATTTTGGGAAAAAAACATTTACTCTACATAAACTAGATGGACAGAGCAGGAAAAACTGGATCGAAAGAGTATGAACATGATAGAACCAAGTTAGGATTGAGACAAAGTTACACGAAAAATAAATGTGGATCCGCGCATAGAGTCAAAACTTTGGGAGAAAAGAGAAGTACCAAGAAATACACAATGAGACATCTATCATAGTGCGCTTCAAACCAAGGCTCCTCACAGATGATACAAGAGGGATCTTGGTTGGAAAGGAATGGGAACAGACTTCGAAATAGGAAAGGGGAAATCGAAAGAGAAATTCCCTCACCAGGGTGCTCTCCCATACGACCTCTCTCGAACCTTGCACAACTCGAAATGAACTCAAAAGAGTCGTAATTGGCTCCGCCCACAACCAAAATACAAAAACCTAAGTATAAACGTTCAATCTGATCAACATCAGATCTCATCTCCCTGAAACAAACGATCTTCAAAGTGGTTGAGATCGCATACAGTTATTCCCATCCGTCTGGCTTCTCTACTTACAACACCCTACTGGGCCTCAGCTCA